TTCCCACAACAAATGTCAAATAAACTGCATGTGTCCGGTTTCTAAGACTTTTCTCAATAACTTAAATTATGTGTCAAGGTCTCTTTCTTCCTCCCTTATCTCTCTCTCTCCCTTCCCCCAATAAACTCCCCACATAAAACAAATAAATGAATAGGTAGGTAGACAGACAAATTATGTGTCAGAGATGCCTACCAAATACCTTTAGTTTGATCAGTGTGTCTTCAAGGTGACTTTGAACTACTTCAGTGTGTAAAATGGCAGGGAGACACAAAAGGGAATCAAGAGATAAAGCAGGGTTCACTGAACCTTGAGTGTGTGGGTAACTACAGTTACATAGCCAACTTCTGGTGAATCTTTTCTCAGGTTGAAATATCACAGGAAAATAATAAAACCAATCTTTTTTTAAAACTACCTTTTTTATCTCCAGCAGCCTCCTTAGGTTCACTAGCCTTTTTTCCATTTTTTCCATTAGGAAAGTACTTTTCAAATCCTGTTAGAAAAGATAAAAAATATCTTCACACTAAAATTCATCAGGTGTTGTGCATATTGTTCATAAAACGGGTGAGACACCATCAAAAATCGTAACATTCCTTGGGTAGAAATACATCAAAGTCTAATACAGTTCACAATCTAGAGGTGTCAATTTCCTCACCTGTACAATGTTCACTAGTGGGTGACATATTTCCCCCACTACCATCAGACAGAAGCTGAAGTCAGGGTATAGACACAGAGGACAGATAACAGCTAGTCATCCTGAAGCCAACCTATGTACCCACATAGGAAGCCCCTCCCAGGGCATGTTCCTTTAACAAGAACACAGGGCACCAGAGGCAGATTGAGCACTTACCTTTGGGAGGTCGGGAACACAATCTTTGATAAGCAGCAATGACATCCCTCAGAAGAGAGTTTCTGGTTGTTGTCTGCACTGTAGCATATTGATAAAGCTGCAACATGACATCAAAATAAGAGCATGACGGCTATTCCAAAAAACAGAGGAAAAGGACTTCATTCCTAACATCCAAGAGAGTTATGAACTTCCCCTTGGGAAGAACCAAGGCTTGATGGCACAAGGCTACTCTATTCTAGCATCAGAACCAGGAAATGAACACTAACCACCCAAAAAAATGGGTCTTCAAGATCAGACACAATCCGGACTACAGTCTAATTATAAATACCTATGAACTCATTCACCTGGGCAATATTTATCTGATTTGAAGCACCCAAAGATAAACTCTGGCCCAAAATCTAATGTTTCGCACTGAATCGTTTTTCAGGTACTTACCTAAAGTTACAAGCCAGCACTACTTATAAACAATGCTAACTTTACCTCTCTTCTATGATAAGAAAGTCAGGGCTAACTGTCAATCCTTACACTAGGCAACTGCTAAAGATGGGCTGTCATCTTGACAAGAATCGCAGCCTTAGGAAAGTCTACTATAGACACATCTCTGCTTGGAAACATGCTACTAAGAAGCTGTTTGGGGGCTGGGGTTTGGCTCAACAGGAAAGCTCATACTTAACGTGTAGGCCCTGGGTCTGAACTCTAGCACCACAAAATTGCCATCAACAATTACTTGCAGGGGCTGAGGATGCTCAAAGTGAGGTTCATCTGTATTAGTTATTCTATTAGTTACTGCAGTCCAGTCTCTTCTGTGGTCTGATGAGAAAAATGAAGCAGCATCCTCTCAAGTAGGACAACTCACACCCACTTGGGTGTGCAAGCACCACCAGAAAGGCAAGTATTAGAGAAAATAAGGAGACACAAGCCCTTGCACACTGCTAGTGAGATGTAATAGCCAAGCCACTCTGGAACAGTTTGGCAAATTCTCAGCATGTAATGTAGGGGGGCCAGTCAGACACTGAAGTGGGTGAAGACACTTACCACCAAGCCTGATGACCTAGGTTCAATCACCTTCAGAACTCACATGGCATCCTCTAACTTCCACTTAAGTGTCATGGCATGCACATGTACGCACACATGCAGAAGCAAGGAGAACACAATGCATGATAGCTTGGTGATGGGAAAGTCCTGTGTATATGTTAATAAAGCACTGTTGGCCAATGGGGAAGCAAGATAGGTGGGACTAGGAGTCCAGGAGGACTCTGGGTAGGAGAAACACAGGGAGTCAAGATGTAACCACCATAGGGGTAAGAAGCCCAGACCCTTTTCTCCGGAAAGAGAAATACTTAGATTAACAATTATGGGGTAAATACTTAAGTCAGAGCTAGCCAGTAAGAAACAAGCAAGGCCAACAGCTTCATAATTAATACAGCATCTTGTGTGTTATTTGGGGACTACAATGTGGCAGAGCCCAGGCGACTGATGGGGAAAAACCAAAGTGGCTGGTAAGGAAAAGACTTCACTCTACAGCTTGGGATGGAACTAGGCACATAGTTACACTCTACAAACATCTGTCACCTCAAAAATACCCTGGGTGGGGGGAGGGCTAGAGCTCAGTGGTTAAAAACATGTTACTCTTGCATAGGACACAGGTTCAGTTCCCAGCAAGCACATGGTGGCTCACAAGAGTCTGCAAATCAATTTTAGGGATCAAAGTCTTTCCTGACCTTCTTGTGCACCAGGTATGCATGAGGCACAAATACACAGAGGCAGGCAAAACACTGAGACATCATTCACATAAAACACATGAATCTAAAGGTTTAATGCCTTCTGGAGCTGAGGATGTAGCAGAGGGTGTAGTTTCTCTAGTATGCCTGAAGCCCTGGGTTTGATGTCCCAGCACCAAACAATAAACCAGGCATGGGCCACGACAACTGTAATTCCAGCTCTCAGGAAACAGAGGCAGGAGGATAACATGCTCAAGGTCATCCTGGGCTACATACATCCTATGTAGCAAAGAAATGTTCAGGTTATCATTTATATAACGCCAGTATTGGGGAGTATATGTCACACACACCTACACTAATTAGCTATAGCTGTCTGAAACAAGGACTTCCTTACGTCTGGTGACTCACAGGTACAACAGTCCCAGTATGCCTTTTAATATGAGACTCAACCTTCTCAGGCAGATCCCGGAGTCCAATGTTCACTGACTGTAAAGGGATCAGATGAGCAAGGTGAGATGGGAGAACAGACGAACACTGCACAGATGGCATACAATAGGAAAGTACACAGTGGAAAAGGTAAGGACTCAAATCAACACACGGATGACAAGGGAGCTTCGAAGCAAATGTCCCAAACAAGTACCCTCAGCAATCCCTACCCACGGCTTCTGTTCTCGTGTCCCACTAGTGAAAAACACTCAGAAAAGAAAAAACGTTTACATGAGCTGGTGTGGTGGTGCATAGCTGTAACCCCTGCACTTGAGAGACGGGAGACAGAAGAATCAGGACTTCAAGACCAACCTCAGCAATGAAGAATGCTTGAGGCCAATTTGGGTTTAGTTGCTATTTTCTGGTGGTGGTGGGGAGGTATTGGTTGGTTGGGCAGTGGTGGGTTTTGGTCATTATTCCTTGAATGCTAGGGCATAAAAATTATTTACAAACCATATTTATTAGGTATTAAATTAATCTAGAGATGAACGTGTACGGGAAGAGCCAGCCTGACGAGGAGGAGCAGGTGGGAGATTAAGGCTAGCCTGGGCTACAGTAAGACCTAGACTCAACAATCCCCAAACAAAACATAAACAAACCAAAGCACACAGAAGTGCGAGCATCTTATGACTTTGGTACGGGTCCTAGCATCAATGCCCTGTGGATACTGAGAGCCTGCTCTAGCTTGTAAGTGAAGGGGCTGAACTAACGTCGGTGAGGGCAATGACCAGCTAGTAAGTGGTCAAGCCTGGTTCCAGTGACTAATCGCATTCCTCAACCGCCATGCTATGTACCTCTAGGTAAAACCTGGGCTGGACTGGCAGACAGCAAGAAGCTGTGTCATGGTCCTGCCAACACAGCATCACTTCAATAAAATGTACCAGATCGTGTGTGACCCTACACCAGCAGTGAACCCTCATGATAGGTGCTGTTATGCAACAAAATACACAGGCCCTACGGTGAGCAGTATATTTATGACACCAGTGATATTTGCCGGTGTGTTCAGGAAGCCAGCAACGGCCCCATTCAACAGATGGGAAAGGGAGGTACCACAGCCCGCTCTCTCCCCTCCAGCTCCTCGGTGCAGCTCACTCGTCCGTCGCTTTCCAGTGCCACGAAAGCCAGCCAGGCCACGGCAGCAAGCAGCAAAGCCGGGGCGTGACCTTCCCGGGCTCCCGGCGCCACTCACGGCAGCGCGGCCCACACGGCCCGCGGGAGACCAGGGGACTCAGGCCGTCACGCGTCAGGCCAGTGACCTTGACACCTGCGCCCGCGCCGGAAGCCGGCCGAAGCGAGCAGCGGCGACGCGGGACTCACCGTGCGGAGGAAGGGCCGCTGCCCCGGACCCAGGCAGCGGCTGGGCACGAGTAGCGGAGGGAGGCCGCGACGGCAGCCGCCCCTGCCCCACAGCAGCAGGCAGCGGTGAGCCATGGCGGGCTCGGCCCGCTCCCGGGCGCGCGCAGGCACGGAGCCAAGGCGGGCGAGCGGCGGCGACCCTCAGCTTCCGCAGCTAATCGGTTCTCCGGGAAATGCGCGCCAGCGGCGCAGGGGACCCGCGGCGGTACGCGAACACACGCTCCACACGCGTACGTCGCGCCCCGCCCCGGCGTGCGGACGTCGACGTGCCCTCTAGGCGGCCGACCACGCCCTCAGGACGGGAGGGGCTGGAGCAAAGTGCCGGAGCCTGACTGGAGGCGGGACTAAAAGAGGAGCAGGGTGTGGCCGTGGGCGGGGCCCAGTAAGAAGTAGAACCGGATTGGGGCGTGGCTCACGAGGGAGATGGGCGGAGATAGGGCGTGGTTGGAGCAGGACTACAGAGGGGCGTGGCTGGAGGAGGGCCCTGGAGGCGGGGTCAAAGGATGAATGGGACAGGGTCGAATGCTACTGTGGAGGCGGGGCCCAAAGAGGACAGCAGAGGCGGGGTCAAATGAGAGGGGCGGGCGAGAGGCGGGGAGGACGAAGGAAAGGGTGAAAGGAGCAAATGGAGGTGGAACCGAAAGAGTAGCGGGGCAGGTAAGGCGGGGCTAAGGGAGACACCAAAGAATGAAAATGGGAGGGGCCAAATAAGGAGCGCTGGATTGGAGCGTGTACCTTAAGGAATTGACATACTTAACAAAGGCTATATGGAAAAGGACTTGTTTTTTTTCATTCAGGACTGGAGACCGCTGATCTTGTTTGACATTTTAGCATTCACTCTTTCACTCATCAAATACTTAGTTAAGTGATTGCTCACTGTCAGGCCCGTGGCCAGGCTCTGCAAAGGCCACAACGCAGATATTGACTTATTTTTCTTTTGAATTTTGGGACAGGGTCTACTATGCAGCTCTAGCTGTCCTCACACACTACTGTGAATTGAAGTTATGTTAACGATTCTACCATTGCTGACTGACAAGTCAAAACTACGTGATTGAGCTGGGTGGGGTTGGCACTTGCCTTTAATCCAGGCACTCAGGAGACAGAGGCAGGCAGATTTCTGTGAGTTGGAGACCAGTCTGATCTACAAAAGAGCTAGTTCCAGGACAGCCTCCAAAGCCACAGAGAAATCCTGTCTCGAAAAACCAAACAAAAACAAAAACAAACTATGTGAAGAGTTGGAATGTTGCAAAACCAGAACCAAATTGTCTTGGGCTATGTTTAGTCCCTTTAGTAACCCTAAGTGTTATTTATCCTTGTGTCTAACCTAACATCAACATGACTAAATTAAACCTCATTAATATTTATAACAAACTTCTGCACCACTGGCATGTGTGAAGGCCTGAATTCCGTTCCCAGTGCCATAAACAAGGGGAAAAGGAATCTTCCTGTGCACAGTATTTTCAGGGCTCTTTATGTAAGCATTTCAACGGATCTGATGGGATGGACAGGGATAGATTCTGGCACTCCGGAGTCACAGAATACTGAGTGTTACAGCTCAGACAGAAAGGTATTCTGGCACTCGGGAGCCAAGGAATACCACAAGTCACAGTAAGCATAGCAACTTATAGCCCTGCCTCAGGGAAAGGCTTCCCCAGTGTATTAGCTCGGCTCCAGGAGGAGAGGGTCTCTCCAGCGAAGTTTTTACAGTTCAGCTCCAGTCCCCAGAGAACAAGTATAACAACTTCAGATCACCAGGGGAAGGTTCCCCCAGCGAAAAGTGTTACAGCCCTGCTCTGCTCTGCTCTGCCCAGGGTGGTCTCTGTTCCCTCAAAAGAAGGTCTCACCCAAACCTCATTCAAGAAATTTTTGGGGAGGGAAGAATCCAGGAGAGTGGCTGCCCTCTGCCATCCTGGAAGCACGAACAGCCAGAAGCTGAAAAGGCACAGGGTTTATATAGGGCTTCTCAGGGGCAGAGTTTTCCAGGGAGAGTTCCAGAGTGGGGATTGGTCAGATTTCAGTCCCTGAGTTTACGATGGCTAGATCTCCTGCTCAGGGATTGGTTGGTTTTTCTGCACAGGTTTAGGGTCAGATTTGGCTCTGGTTTCAGGGCCAATGTGTGTTTCTTTCTCTGGTCCTTTTTAGCCTTTGGCTCTAGTTTTAGGGCCAGGGTGTATTTCTTTCACTGACTCAGATTCCAGGGAGAAAGTGTATTTCTTTGGCACTGGTTTCAGGGTCAGGGTACATTTCTTTGTTTCTGGTTGCAGGGCCAAAGTGTGTTTCTTTGGCTCTGCTCAGGGTATGTTTCTTTGGCTGTACCCTTTTCCCTACATTTTACCCAGACAACCATGGATCATAAAAAGATGACAAGAAGCAAGGCCCTGCACTCTATGCTTGCTAGCGACAGTGAAACAAAACTAGAAATCTGTATCAGAAAAATCCCAGGAATGGGACTGGAGGATGACCCAATGACAGGTTCCCATATGGGATTTCCACAAATATTTCATTTTGGTTTCTCCTTCCCTAAGCTTTCCCTCCCTTATGTACCCCTTTGCCCCAGTTTCCCCCTTCCACATTATTCTATTGTTTTCTCTACCCCATTCCCACAAAGCCTCTCTTTTTCTATTCTGGTTTCCTAGCCTTAACCCTCATTTAATTCCACCTTACAGTATTTGTCTTTCTGAGTCTGGGTTACCTCGATGTATGTTTTCCAGTTTCACCCATTTTCCTCCAAGTTTCTTTCTTTCTTTTTTGTTTGTTTGTTACCAATAGCAAAAACCTTGTCTTGTTTTGTTTTTGTTTTTTGGCTTTTGTTTTTTGAGACAGGGTTTCTCTGTGTAGCCTTTGCTGTCCTGGAACTCCCTTTGTGGATCAGGCTGGCTTTGAACTCACAGACCTCCACCTACCTCTGCCTCCTGAGTGCTGGGATTAAAGGCATTCGCTAACGTGTCTGGCAAGAAGGGAATTCTCTAGTTCTGTAAGAACAGCACCATGCTGGTACCAAAACCAGATGAACATCAGACAATATACCTTACATATGTACATGAAAAGCCTGAACAAAATTCCAGAAAACCAAATATCGAGTTAGGTGCACTCTTACATATTTAAAATACTCATCATGCGCAAATGAGACTAATTTTTGTTTGTTTGTTTTTCGAGACAGGATTTCTCTGTGGCTTTGGAGGCTGTCTTGGAACTAGCTCTTGTAGACCAGGCTGGCCTCGAACTCACAGAGATCCGCCTGCCTCTGCTCCTGCCTCCTGAGTGCTGGGATTAAAGACGTACACCATCAACGCCTGTCAAGACGAATTTAGATGTGAAAAGTTGGTGAACACAAAACCAAAAAAAAAAAATCAAGTTAATAAATTGATGGGAAAAAAATCACACAAGGTATTGGGAAAGGCACCCAGTACCATTACCTGATAAAAATATTCATAAAGGAACATTCCTTAATTTGACAAAGGAACTTGTGGGGACACCCCAGTTAACATCGGAGTCAGGGGTAAAAGATTGAAAATTCAGTAAGCCATAGCTTCATATTTACTGTGACAGGAGGTATGGCCAGTTTTTTCAAAGGCAGTAAGTATCTGTAAGATGTGGAGAAACTGGAACCTCCACCTGTGGGAATGAGAGAGAGAGAGAGAGAGAGAGAGAGAGAGAGAGAGAGAGAGAGAGAATGTGGCTAGTGAGCGAAGGCTCCCAGGGTAAGATCACTTGTCGCTCTTATAAAACCCTGAGTTCCCAATATCGAAGAGATGATTTAAATTTAAGAGCTGGGTGTGGTAGTGTACACCTTCAATCCCAGCATTCAGGAGGCAGAAGCGGATCTTTGTGAGTTTGATGTCAGCCTGGTCTACAGAGTGAGTTCCAGGGCAACCAGGGCTACACATCAAAATAATGATGATGATGATGATGATAAATAAATAAAAAGAAAGAAAGTGTGTGGCACTTTAGGAGACAGGGGTGTTGTGGAATATTATTTTAACTGGGCAAGGATGTTGTTATAATAACTCTTCCCGCCAGCCTGGTCCCAGTGCCACGCTAACCCCAAATAACACACAGAGACTCTATTAGTTACTGTGCTGTTGGCCAATATCTAGGGCTTCTTATTGACTAACTCTATCTTAAGTATTAACCCATAACTACTAATACATGTATTTCTACAAGGTCTTATCTTACTGAGAACACCAGACTCATGTGTCCCCTCCTCCCAGAATCCTCCTTATCTCCTAAGCCCGACTATCTTGCTTCCCTATTGACCAACAGTATGTTACTCATCAACCAATAAGAGAAGCATATGTATAGAAGACTTCCCCCATCAGGATGTGTTACATTTTTTTATGCTGTGGAATATTAATTTAACTGTGTAAAGGTGTGTTACATTTGTTTCTGCTGCATTTGTTTAATGATGTAAGGATGTGTAATTAATTATGTAAAGATGTGCTACATTTGTTTTATTTTGCCTGCCTAAGGTACCTGATTAGTCTAATAAAAAATTGAATAGCCATACCAGGCTATGGGGGCACATGCCTTTAATTCCAGCAGAGGCAGAGGCAGAGGGATCTCTGTAAGTTTGAGGCCAGCCTGGTCTACAGAGGGAGTGCCAGGAAAGGCTCCAAATCTACACAGAGAAACCCTGTCGGGGGGTGCTGAATGGCCAATAGCTAGGCAGAGAAATGATAGGTGGGGCTGGAGGACAGAAAGAAAAGAGAAGAGAACAAGAGAGGAGAGAACAAGGGAGACATCCGGGGCTAGAAGCTAGGCATCCTTCACCAGTCAGGAGAAGCAATGAAAGTAAGATACACAGAAAGAAAGAAAGAAAGGTAAAAAGCAAAAGGAAGTTAAAAAGAAATAATTTAAAAGATTTAGCTAGAAACCAGCCTAAACTAGGCCGAGCATCCAAAACTAATTAAATCCCCATGTCATCATTTGGGAGCTGGTTGGTAGCCCAAAGCATATAGCCTGGTACACTGGGAGTTGGAGGATTTTGAAGTTAAGGCCCATCTGGGCTACAGAGTGAAATCTGGTCTCTAAAACAAACAAGGACTGGTAAGAGGTGTCAGCCTGTAAAAGTGCTTGCTGTGCAAGCCTGATGACCTAAGTTTAATCCTGAGAACCCACATAAAGGTGGAAGAAGAGAACCATCACCTAAAGTCGTACACACACACATACACGCACACACACATGCACGCACGCACGAACGCACACACACACTCTTCATCCACATGGTGCTGGAGGAATTTGGGGGGGGCAAAGGCCCTTAACATTCATAAAAGGAAGAAACACAGATGGTCTAAGTTGGCACATGGGATGGTGCCCAGTGTCTCTATCCATCACAGACAGGTAGTTTTAAGGCATACCTAGAGCTGGACATGGTTGTGCACATCTGTGTTCACAGAAGTGGAAAGACTGAGACAGGAGGATGGCAAGTTCAAAGACAGCCTGTGCTACATAGTCAGACCTTACCTCAAAAAGCGAAGTAAGCAGAGCTGGGTGTGGTGGCTCATGTCTATACTCCCAGCATTTGGGAAGCTAAGGGTCACTAGCCTGGCCTACACAATAAGAGCAGGGTAAGCCTGAGCTCATAAAGAAGCAAATTAAAAACTTCTTGATTTCCCTTTCTTCTATTCTCACCAACAGCTTGTCTATGCATGAATCCATGTTCCATATGTATTATAAAATATACACTGTATTCTTTCATGAAGTTCTATTTGAATATACATAGAGTTCTGCGTTATATGTAGCTTTGTATGTTAATAGCATTGAGTCCCCTTTTTGCTTTCTTTTCTTCCAGTACTGGGTATGGAAACCAGAGCCTCACACATACCAGACAGCTAAGGCCCAGCCCAGCTCCCCCGCTCAGCATTTTGTCATCTCCATTATGTTCTGGATGCTTGTAAGTTTTCCAGCCAAGGCCGGGTGTCCACTTTATTGCTCTCCAGCTTCCTCTTTGGACTGGGTCTCGGGCTGAGCTTGGAACTCACTGTTTAAGTTAGTCTGGCTGACCATTCCCCAGCTCTGGGGTTACAGGCATGTGCCACCACACCCTGCTTCTTACATGGGTGCTGGGGATCTGAACTCAGGACTTCATGCTTGCACAGCAAGCAATTTACCCGCTCTGCCATCTTGTCAGACCCCAAGGAGCATTGAAATAGCTTCTCATGTATTTCCAGTTCAGATGATAAAATAAATATTTACATTATGTATATGTAAGCTAGCAAACATCCTCGGCATATTTTACTTAGGATAGGGTCTCACTTAAAACTCACTGTATAGACCAGGCTGGCCTCTGCCTCTGGCACTGAGATATATCCCCAGCCTTTCTCTTCTTCTTTTTTACTTTCTGTTCACTTCCTTTTTCTTTTTTCTGTCTTTAGCATTTTATTCTTTTCAAATTTTGAGGCAATCTCAGTGAGTTTCTCAGAATAGCCATGAATTTACTGTGTTATCCCAAGCAGGCCCTGAACTTGTGATCCTCTTTCCTCAGTCTTCCAGGTACCTGGAATGCCAACAAAACAAAACAAAAACAAACAAACAAACAAAAAAACAGGTAGGGGGCTGGAGAGATGGCTCAGGGGTTAAAAGCACTGATTGCTCTTCCAGAGGTCCTGAGTTCAATTCCTGGCAACCACATGGTGGCTCACAACCACCTTGAATGAGATCTGGTGCCCTCCGCTGGCATGCAGGCAGAAGACTGTATATACAACAAATAAATAAAATATTAAAAAAAAAAACAGATAGTAATTTGCTTTGGTTCAGGACAGGAGCTTGGGATTGCCCAAGTGCGCAGTGCTGCATGTATTTGTCCACTAGGTGACAGGAGAGCTCTACAAAGCTCTCCAAGACACCCAGCATCTATTTGTGTTTCAAAAAGCCTTAAAATAAAGTGGGGCTGGGTGGCATAAGTCTTTTAATTCCAACATTGGAAAACAGAGCTAGGCAGATCTCTGAGTTCAAAGCTAGCCTGGTCTACAAAGAAAGTTCCAGTACAGCCAGGGCTATACAGAGAAACCCTATCTCAAACAACAACAAACAAGAATTAAAAAAAAAAAACCCACAAAACTTAAAGACAGGTTTGGATTTCTTTTGAAGTCATCATTAAATGATTTTACTACAGCCCTTAAGAGTCCATCTGTTGAAATCCTAAGATTTTGCCAGAAGACAAAGCCGTGTGCAAGATCTACTCCAGTTAATGTATCTCAGGGGAAACACCCCAAAAATGTCCATTTAAGATTGGCTAGAGCCGGGTGGTGGTGGCGCACCCCTTTAATCCCAGCACTCGGGAAGCAGAGGCAGGCGGATCTCTGTGAGTTTGAGATCAGCCTGGTCTTATAGGCTGAGCTAGTTCCAGGACAGCCTCCAAAACTACAGAGAAACCCTGTCTTCGAAAAACAAAAAACAAAAAACAAAAAAGATCGTCTAGGGTAGTAGTTCTCTACCTTCCTAATGCTGCAATCTGTTAACCCAGTTCCTCATGTTGTGGTGACTCCCAACCAGAAAATTATTTTTGTTGATACTTCCTAACTGCAACTTTGCTACCGTTATGAATCATGATGTAAATATCTGTGTTTTCCAATGGTCTTAGGTCAACCCTGTGAAAGGGTCATTTGATCCCCAAAGGGGTTGTGACCCATAAGTTGATAACTACTGTTCTAGATGATAATGAAAAATAATGAATTAACAACACTAATCTGGAATTCCTTAATCAGCATTTTCCTCATGGTGACTTAGTATGCAGTGTTCAGCCTGCATGTGTGTCTGCACACCAGATCTCATTACAGATGGTTGTGAGCCACCATGCGGTTGCTGGAAATTGAACTCAGGATCTCTGGAAGAGCAGTCAGTGCTCTTAACCTCTGAGCCATCTCTCCAGCCCCATGAGTTAGCACTTTTTTTTAAATGTTTGCTCAGTAGTACACTAAAGTAAAACGATAATGACATAAAGTCCCCAGACTTGGAACATAGCTCAGAGCTAGAGCCCTCTCCTAACATGTGCGAGACCCTGAGTTTAATCTTTGGCAAAGCAAAGCCAACCCAATCGTGTCTTCCTGAAAGAGTACATGGGAACGCCAGAGTGTTGGTGAGAGCCACCTCAAAGCATGCTTAACTATAGAGAATTAATGTGTACAGCCGAAATAAGGAGGAAAACTTTTTTTTGGGGGGGGAGATGGACAGCAAGACAACATGGCTGATCAAGCTGAGGAGGAAAACTTTTAAGGTGTGTATTGGCAAGACTCAGACGTTCTAAGTAGGGAGGGCTTGGGAAGAGAACACCACAGAAACAAAGGGATTACATGATTTGCACCTTGGCTAAATAATGTTCAAGATAGATTTGAATATGTCTGTATTCTGGTAATTTCTTTTAGATTTTTGTTTTTAATTTTATGAGTGCTTTTGACTAAGAGTAAGTATGTAGGCCGCATGCACACAGTGCCTGAGGAGGCCAGGAGAGGATAGCGGATCCCCTGGGACTGGAGTTACAGACAGTTGTGAGCCACCATGGAGGTGCTGGGAACCGAACCCAGGTCTCTAAAGAGCAGCCAGTGCTCTTAACCACTGAGCATCCTCTCTAGCCCCTCCAATCATTTCTTTTTCAGTGTCGGCATTTGAACTCAGAGCACCAGGGCCTGGGTAAGTTATATCACTGGGCTACATCCTCAGTCACTCCAAGTGTAATCTGTCAGGAAGAGCTCAGCAGACCTAGCTAGTGGCCACTCTTGGCTGCCCCTGTGTTGTCTGCTCTAACAACACAACACAACAAACAGTAAGTCTCTGAAGAAAACCTTTATTGCGGTTGTATTAGTGAATTAATGACACACCTGTCCCTGCTTTCTCATGTAGTTCTGGGGTAATGAATGAAACAAATGTCCATGGGAAATGGACAAGGAGCAACTCCAAAAGTTTTTTGAAATTCCTCTCCTGTTGGGAGATTGGTTTTTCTCCCAAAGTTAAACAAACAAACCCTACTCAGGTATTGCAACTCTCAAAGACTATTTTTAACAGCAGAGTCTTTTATTTTAGGAAGGAAGGGCGGGAGGGAGGAAGGAAGGGGAATATTTGAAGTATGGTGGCTCAAACCTGTAATCCCAACACTGGGTGGGAATGGAGGCAGGAAGATCAGGAGTTCAAGACCAACCTCTGTCATATATTGAGCTTGATATTATCCCAGGTTTCATTGAAACCCTGCTAAGGAAGAGAAAAAAAAATTAAAGGCTTGTGCCACCATGCCTGGACCAAAAATAGATGTTTAAAGGGTAAGGGAATTATTTCAGCAGTAAATCACATACTTAATACCCTGGGTTTAATCTCACACACACACACACACACACACACACACACACACACACTCACACATACACAGATACCCACTACACATACAGACATACCACACAGACAGACAGACAGACACATACACACACACAGACAGACACATATACACACACATACCAGACTCCCACACACACAGATAGACAGACAGATATCACACACACACATACACACACACAGACATGTCACACACATCACACAGACATACCACGCACACATACAGACACACAGACACACCATACATATACCACACACAGACACACACACACACACAAATACACACTCCACTGGCTGCGATAATGCAGGCCTATAATCCAGTACTGGGAACCTGAGGCAGGATGATGAAGAGTGTGAGACTAGCCTGAGCTACACAGCATGAATCTATCTCAAACAGCAAAAGAGTAAGACCACTGCAGGACAAGCCTGTAGGTTTCCCCCAGGTGGTCAGTAGGGTTGAAGAACAGGGTGGAAACACTAGACTAGCTACCCACTCAGAGTTATCCTGGGGGGTGTGCCTCCCTCCCAGGGCCGGGCCATTCTTGGCTTTATCACTTCCTAGGAATGATCCTTGAGTCACTGAACAAGCAATTGGCAAGTACCTCCTGTTGGCCAGAAACTGGGTTAGGTCGCATGTACACAACAAATGGGGTTCAGAGCCTGTCCTTGGACAGCTCAAAGAGGTTGAGTCCCACTTTCCAAACTTTAGGCAGCATTTAGTGGTTCAGGCTGTTCATAAAAAAGTATAATTTCTTTTGTTTTTTTAGACAGGATTTTTTTGTGTAATAGCTCTGGCTGTTCTGGAACTTGCTTTATAGACCAGGTTGGCCTCGAACTCACAAAGATCCACCTGCCTCTGTCTTCCAATTACTGGGATTAAAGGAGTTCACCATCATTGCCTGGCAAAAGTATAATTTCTGAATCTTGCCCCAGAAAAGCCCACTCAAGAGGCCTGTGAGCAGGCCTGGAAACTGGCCCCACATCAGCATGAGTCTGTCAGGAGAGACAGACCATCAAATCCAGCAGCTACAGAGCTTGATGAGCAAGGCAGAAGGACTTCTGAGCTTTGGGAATGTGGGAGGCGCACCCAAGGGCAGCCCTGGGAACGGCAGGGCATACCTACAGAAGCATGAGACAGGCTCTCAAGGACAAGTCACAGCTGTCTGGCATGGGGTGGCACAATGTATTCAGCCAGGCTGATAGGAGGCTGTGAGACCAGTCAGGAGGGGCTCTGGTGCCGTCAGGAGGCATGACAATGACAGCGGCAGAAATCCAGGCTTGTGGTTCATTCCATTCTCGCCCGCCCCTCAGGGTGACCGCTACTAGGAAAGGAAAGGATTTATTTGGCTTACACTTACTGTTTAGGAACTCAAAACCGGCAGGAATCTGGAGGCAGGAGCTGACACAGAGGCCATGGAGGGGTGGTGCGTACTGGCTGGCTCAACCTGCTTTCCTGTAGAACCCAGAACCACCAGCACAGGGATGGCCCCACCCACAGAAGGCTGGGCCCTCCACCATCCATCACTAATTAAGAAAATGTCCTACAGGCTTGCCTACAGCTGCATCTTATAGAGACAGCTTCTCAGTGGCAGCTCCCTCCTCTCTAGTCAGTGACTCTAGCTTGTGTCAAGTTGGCATAAAACTAGCCACCGGAGATGCAGGCTGGGAAGTCAGTGGACATGTTCCCAGGGAAGGTTCAGAGAAGAGGGGAATATACAAAGGAATCTGGGAAAGGTGTTCTTGCTACGTGGAGAGTGAGATAGCGAGAGAGGATGCAGACACTGAAGTAGAGAGCAGCAGTGATGTAGGACATGGGGCTGAGCGGCCCTGAGTGGGCTGCGTGGTCCTGGCTGAATGAGAGGTGCTTCAGGAACCCCTTACACGAACTGTGGACTATATAAGCAATTAAAATTAAACAAGAGCCAGTGCGGGGCTTCACTCCCGTCATCCCAGCACTTGGGAAGCAGAGGCAGGAGAATTGCTGCAAGTTTGAGGCCACCAAGGTCTTCAAAGAGATTTCCAGAGCAACCAGCATTAAACAGGGAGGCTCTGCCTCAAATAAAACAAAAACAAAGAGATGGACCCCAGTTCCTTTCCCCATCAGATCTAGTTGCTGGTCTCGGTTTTTGTACAGCGGGAAGACTATGCCAAAGCTGTCTTCTCTGAGATGTAGTTTGTATACAGCATGAGACCCAGATTCAAACAAGCCTGAACTCTTTTTGTAAAATGGGGTAATCTGGGAATTAGAAAAATGATTGTGAAGTTCTAGGCAGCTGTAGCAATTGCTGACTAAACAGTGGTGTGTGAGGGTGGGAAGAGGGTTCTCTGGTGTCCTCTGAGGGCTTTTGGTTTGAGGAGCTGTTTTTGTCATTGTTTAAAGTGGCGTAATGAGTAAAGGGACCCTCATCTAACATTTGGTCTACAGTTAGAAGACATCACAGGAAGGAAGGGACACGAAAAAGGGCAGCTCTGAAAGAAGAAACTTGTGGCTGATGTACGACTTATACCCATGTGACTTGATTGATAAAGACTTTTGTGTGAAGTGAAAAAAAAAGAAAGAAAGACAGGGAGAGAGGGGAGACAGACAGACGGACAAACACAAGAGAAAGCATATGCAGGACAGGTTTGAAGCATAATTGCACCAGAGTTATAGAGGAACATAGTGGCCCCCAACACAGTGATGTCCAGTGTTGCTCCACATGGGTTTAGCATGAACTTCTCATTCACCCTTTGGTTTCTACAAATGAGCTTCTGTAAAGGGAAACCTTTTCCTTGAGAGAAGCCTTCCCGCCAGCCTGGTTCTAGAGCCACATCAGTCCCAAATAAACACACAGGAGGCTATATTAATTGTGAAGCTGTTGGCCTTGCTTGTTTCTTACTGGATAGCTCTGACTTAAGTAATTACCCCATAATTGTTAGTCTAAGTATTTCTCTTACCAGAGAATAGTTCCAGGCTTCCTACCCCATGGCATTACATCTTGACTCTCCGTGTTTCTCCTTCCCAGAGTTCTCCTGGACTCCTAGTCCCACCTATCTTGGTTCCCTATTGACCCAACAGTGCTTTATTGACATATACATAGGACTTCACCCATCAAGCTTAGTACAAATGTATTCATTTTTATTAATTGTACTGGAGATGGAACCCAGTGACTTGTACATGTGAAGTAAATACTCTACCATTGAGCAACTACAAATGAGCTTTCTTGTCCAGGCAAATGACTCTGGTTCTTTCTTGGTTTGTTTTTTTTTTTTTTGTTTGTTTGTTTGTTTTTTGTTTTGCTGGGATTAAAGGTATGTGCCACCATCATCTGACTTACTTTTTATCTTGAGACAGGGTCTACTAACTGAGTTACCCAGGCTAGCCTTGAATTTTCCACTTTCTTGCCTCAGTCTCCCCAGTAGTTGTGATTACAGCCTGCTCCAACAAGGTTGGCTTTTTTTTTTTAACTTTGTATTTAACACTAGCTATATAGTCCAGCCTGGCTTCTAATTCTCCACCTTTCTGCCACCCTACCAACTGCTGGGATTATAAGCATGAGCCACCATACCAGTACAAGACGTGATCAATATATTTCTCTGAAGTTCCCAGAAAAAAAGAAAAGTCATACCTTGCTAAAGACTCCAAGAACAACCAACTGAATTTAGTGCTTATGGAGAGTTAAAATGTTGCAGACTAGAACCAAATTATCTTGGCCTATTTTTAGTCCCTGTTTATCTGTGTGTTTGTGTGTGTTCATGTTTATAGTTGCACATATGTAGGCACATTTGTGGGCACATGAACTTGTGTTCAGGAATCTCTTGCCAAACTGTAGCTTGTTGTTAGCCTGGTTAGCCACCTTGCTTGCTAGATTCCATGTCTACCTCCAGTGAGCTTGGATTATATGTGGGCTGCCATACTTACCTGTAGGGGTTTCTGTATAGCATTGACTATCATCATTACTCACCCAGCTGCCCTTCTGAAGACTGTCCACTCATGTGTCTGATCAGCCCTTACCTATCAAAACCTTTACAGAATACCCTATAGCAGACCACTGGCTTTTCACCAATCCAAATGCTAAAAATGCTCTATCATCTAAGACCTATAGCTGAGTTCCGGACTTGCTCCGATTCCTGCTTACTTAGAAAATACCACGATTTGTGCCTTTCTTTGTTCTGTAACTAATACAGTTTCTTGTAACCGCATCCTCAGCGGGACACGTCTTTCAGAGCAACCTTAGTCATTGTTCCTGGATCATGATGATTTATATTTGGCTCAAAAATAAACTGGGTCTTAACTCGCTCCGAGGCGAGAACTGGTTTGTGTCTACAGGATAAAGGCTATTAGCTCCATTGGAGCAGCGCTCCAGTTACTGGTAACTCTAGGACGAAGTCCGCCTTTGTCCCCAAGCCTTTTGCTGCTGCAGCACCACGTATTGTTCACCTCGAAAGCATTTGCGAAACCGGCTACTTCAGTTTCCTAGGGGTGAGGGCTCTGTCCTGGTAGTCTCTCTAGTGGGGTGCCTGTGACGCGCGCGTCGATAGCATTGGGGTTTCAAACCTACTCAATACCCAGGCTGTTTTTTATGAATTGTGATCTCTGCTTTGTCCACAACATTCCCGTGTGGCTGGAAAGGGCAGGGGCAGAATTTGGACGGCTTCAGAGCCTGGCGCTGCCATTCGTGGCTGCGCACTCGCGCAAGTCCCTGCAGCAGCATTGCTCTGGGTACCACCCGCCTCCCACATCCCTATTTTTAGCCTCTGCAGCCCGGGCCACGTGACGGAGGAGGCGGTACAGCGGGCGCCCCGCCCTCGTGGCGTCGCGCAGCATCCCGCAGAGCGACTAGCCCGCGCCTAGGGCCTGCGGCTGCCGGGATGAAGATCTGGAGCTCGGAGCACGTGTTCGGGTGAGCGGGCTGAGGGCTGCGCTGGGAAATGCGTGGACGAGGCCAGAGCCACGCGCATCTTCGGGGAGGGGAGGGTATTGGAAGAGGCAAGCTCTCTGGGTTCGGGATCGCGGGGCGGGGAGCGGCGGCAGGTGCGTGTCGCAGGCCTCTCCAAACTCAGCCGCCCTGTGCAGGCTGCAAGCTGCGCCGCGGGGGCGTTGCGATAGGTTCCGAATTGCACTGCGGGTGTCACAGACCGTGCCCGAGGGGCTTGAGCCCGCGGGAAGACTAGATGCGAGGAAGGCATTTGGGGAGTTTGGTCCTGAATACCTGTGCATACTGGCGCCTCAAAACCCCCGGAGAAACCGCGAACTGCCTCAAGTGCCCTCCAGACTCACGCGCGCCTTCCACCTTGTCATTGAGTGTTTTAATTAAAAAAAAAAAAAGATTTTTGAGAATTTCTGATCCTGCTTAGAGAACCCTTTCGTTCTGAGCGGGGATGGGGGTGGGGAGACTGCATGAAACAGAATTGTCATCCGTTGTCTTTTAAAGTGTTGCGTTTTAATAAAGATGTATCACCTGGTTTCAGAACTTCCGACTTAGTTTTTGATGGTGTTGGGGATCGAACCCAGTGTTTCGAGCCTGCTTGAAAAATGTTTCAGCACCACCACAGCATCCACCTTTGAAAAACAAAACAAAACAAAACAAAACAAACAAACCCCAACTTGCAGCCCTTGTGAAGGAGGTTCCCCCAAGATGCAGGCATATTTTGTACTGTCTGAATTCAGAGAGGGGGGAAGGGAAGACATTAAGTATCGGGGATCTCAGAGTATTGACTTGGACCTTCTGAGAGCTGCCTCAGGGGCCCTGAAATGTTGACTAACCCTGAGAGTGGTGACCTTTTTTTTTTTTTTTCAAGACAGGGTTTGTCCTGGAACTCTGTAGATCGGACTCGCCTTAAACTCACAGAGATCCGCCTGCCTCTGCCTCCTGAGTGCTGGGATTAAAGGCCTGAGCCACCATGGCCTGGCCAGTGTTGACATTTTTGATCATTTTTGCACCTTTTTTTATTCTATTGTTTTATAATTTATAATTTTGCAATCTCTAATGTGTTACCATTTTAATGCGTGTTCTAGAGTTTTTCTTGGGTCCGCCCTCTCTCCCTCCATTCCTCCCTCCCTCTCTCCCTCTTTCTTTCTTCCTTTCTTTCTCTCTTTCTTTCTGAGACGGGCCTGGAGCTTCCTATGTAGACCAGGCTGGCCCCCGAGCTCTGCTTCCCCAGTGCTGGGATTAAAGGCGTGCGCCACCACAGTTGGCCCTTTTTACTATTCTTTTTTTTTGGGGGGGGGGGTTTAAGACATGGTTTCTCTGTGTAGCTTTAGAACCTGTCCCAGAACGAGCTCTTGTAGACCAGGCTGGTCTTGAACTCACAGAGATCCGATTGCTTCTGTCTCCCAAGTGCTGAGACAAAAGGTGTGCACCACAACCGCCTGGCGCCTTTTTTTTTTTTAACTATTCTTAAAATTACATTTAATTAATTATTTGTGGTGTGTGTGTGTGTGTGTGTGTGTGCCTCAGTGTGCAAGTGATAGTCAGGACCACATGGGGGAGTCAGTTCTTAATTCCTGCCTCATGGATCAGGAGATCCAACTGAGGTTTGATGGTAGGCATCTTTAGCTGCTGAGCCATCTTGTTGGTCCCAAGATACCCATTTTAAAATGTATTCTACAATTCTGGGCTGGGGGGATGGCTCACTGGTTAAAGTGCTCTACGTGCAAGTGTGAGGACTGGAGCTTGGATCATAGGAACTGGTAAACGTGAGTGCAGCAGCTGTTGGATCATAGGAACTGGTAAACGTGAGTGCAGCAGCTGGCCTGTGATTCTAGCTTGGTTAACTGGAGATGGGGATGACTGGAGCAAGCCAGCTAGCATAACTACCCTTCCTTAGTGAATAACATGTAAGAATAACCAGCTAGCATAACTACCCTTCCTTAGTGAATAACATGTAAGAATAACCAGCTAGCATAACTACCCTTCCTTAGTGAATAACATGTAAGAATAACCAGCTAGCATAACTACCCTTCCTTAGTGAATAACATGTAAGAATAACCAGCTAGCATAACTACCCTTCCTTAGTGAATAACATGTAAGAATAACTAGCTAGCATAACTACCCTTCCTCAGTGAGTAACATGTAAGAATAACCAGCTAGCATAACTACCCTTCCTCAGTGAGTAACATGTAAGAATAACTAGCTAGCATAACTACCCTTCCTCAGTGAGTAACATGTAAGAATGACCAAAGTGTTCTCTACATCAGCCTTGGGCCTCCACAAGCATGTACACCCTAGTGCACCTATGCACACCACACATGAAAAGAGAAAAGAGTTAAATGTATTACACAATTGAGTAATTTTTAGTGTAGTTACAAAAAAATGAGTTTTTGTCAACTGTGCAGCCATCACCATGGTGCCAATTTCTGTTATCTTCTAAAGAGATAGATAATGAACTTGGTTATCTGAGATCTGCTTCCCATTCCACTGATCTGTTTCTGTAATTTTTTTCCTGGATATCCTATGTAAATATGTAAATAGTCATCATTATGTGACATTCTGGGTCTGGTTTCTTTTGGAAAGTTTTTTTTTTGCTTTTTTATTATTTTAATTTTAAATAGCTTGTTTTACATGTCAATCCCAGTTCTCTCTCCCTCCCCTCCTCCTGCACCCCCCCCACCATCTCCCCCCGCCATCTCCCCCCCACCCTCCCACCCTATCGCCATTTCCTTCCACATATGGGATATCTAGAGTCTGTCATTTCACTCAGGGCAGGGTCCAGGCACTCCCCTAAGAGTCCAGGCTGAGAGAGCATTCCTCTTTGTGTTATGGACACACGATGTCTGTTTGTATGCCTGGGATAAACACTGATCCACTGCCCATGGCCCCATAGGTTGCCCAGGCCTCCTCACTGACTCTCACATTCAGGGGGTCTGGATCAGTCCCATGCTGGCCTCCCAGCTGTCAGTCTGGGGTCTAAGAGCTCTCCCCTGTTCAGATCAGCTGTCTCTGCTGGTTTTGCCAGCCCATTCTTTGCCAATTTGCTCATCGCTCCTCTCTGTGTCACTGGGTTCCTTGGGTTCTGTTCAGTGCTTATTTGTGTGTGTTTGCCTCTGCTTCCATCAGTCACAGGATGAAGGCTCCAGGATAGTTATAGACATCAAGTTCACTATCAGGAATGGGCATTCGAGGTGGTCTCTCCACTATTGCTTAGCTTGCCAGTTGGTGTCATCCCTTTAGATCACACTGCCCGGCAATTGCATATTTTTTAAAAAATTACTTAATTGTGTATTTTTTATGTGTGAGTGCTTTGTTTGCATGTACACCTGCATGCCAGAAGTGGACATCAGATCCCATTACAGCTGGTTGTGAGCCATTGTTTGAGTGCTGGGAATTGAACTCAGGACCTTTGGAAGAGCAGGTGGAGCCATCTCTCCAACCCCTTGGTTGTATCTTTTAGTAGTTACAATATCAGAGATCTGTGTAAACTGGCATAGCACTTGTACACTGTATACAGAAAGCCATGTATACTGTAACCCAGCGATTAGGAAGGAGGGGCTTGAGGCACTCCTTGACTGTGTACAGAGACCCTATCTTAAAAAACAAGCATCCGCCGGGCGGTGGTGGCGCACACCTTTAATCCCAGCACTCGGGAGGCAGAGGCAGGCGGATCTCTGTGAGTTCGAGGCCGGGCTGGACCGATAGCCTCCGAAACAATACAGAGAAACCCTGTCTCGTAAAAACCAAAAAACCAAAAAAAGCATCCGTCTCTGTGTTGTCATTAGACATTTCAACTGAAATTTTAAAATATTCATTACAATGAGCAATAATACACCTTTTTTGGCACAGGGTCTCATGTTGTCCAGGCTGGGTCGCTGTGTGAGGGTGACTTTGAATTTCTGATTCTCCTGTGTCCATCTCTGGAGTACTTAAATGACAGGCCATGTGCCACTATGCCTTGTTTTAAGTCTATACTGTTAACAATTTAAAGTAAAATTTTGGATAAGGATGGTAAAATGCTTGCCTAGAATGTGTGAAACTCCGGGTTCAATCCCCAACACCATAAAGTTGATATGGTGGTACATGCCTGTAATCTCAGCATTTGGGAGGTAGAGGCAGGAAATTCAGGAGTTCAAGGCCAGCTGAACAAATATGAGACCTTCTCTCAACAATTAAAAAAAATTAAAAACTTAACAACTGGATGATATTAAAAACTAATATCCATGACCTCCGGATTTCTGTAGCTTGATTCTCTTATCTACTTCTGCATCCGGTGTTTTGCGATATATTGCCTTGGTTGAGGTGTGTGGATAAAGTCCAGCCTCACGCAGATAGGGGGGCTGGGAAAGCTAAGTATATCTTCGTACCTTTACTTTACTGCTATGACCAGAAAATGATAGCTTCTTTAAAATTAATAATATAAAATAATATAAAAAGAACAGAAAAACCAGTGCTGAGTCAATTTCTACCTCTTGAGAGACCTGCACCCATCCTTTGGATGTGTATGCTCTTCAAGTTTGTAGTATGGGGCAGTTATGCTCATGGTAATGGATACAAGGTTTCTAAAATTCCAGCTTTCATTCAAAAGCTCGGGTTTTATCTTTGACAACAAACACGAAAGATGCTTGCCTTAAGGTGACAGGCTCACTCCCTCCCTTAGTTACCCAGAAAATAATTGCCAGGTCCCCAAGTTTGAGCAAAGGGTTTGTGCATTGTTCTTGCAAGGGCAGGCTGTGGGTGGTGAGAGGCAGTGGGGAATTGGGTGGGTTCCCAACACCCCACAACCACCCAATATACGGAGGGCAGCCTGAGAATGGCTTGTTCTGCACAAGTATTTCTGGCACACAGCCTGTCCTCCTGCAGATTGTCAAAGAGTCCTCAGAGGTCAAGTGATGATAAAATTAACCACTTTGCCATTTCATCACTTCACTCCTAAGAGAACCCTGAGTTGTTTCCCTGAGTGCATGTGTGAGCAGCGGTGACCAGGCTGTGGTTTGGAGGCTGGCCTGCATTGCTGGGAGAGTCCAGCACTTTCCCCCATTGCTTTAAGAGTCATCACTGTTAATGTTGATATGCGAGAGAGCTAGCAGTGTCCCAAACACACTGTGACAGCCACCTCCTAAGAGGGTCCAGAGCCCCCAGGGTGTCACCCATACTCCAGAACCCGCTGGAAGTAGGGTATAGCTGAGCTTTTGGTCCTGTGACTGCCTCTTATCCACCCTTCCCCGAAACTTTACCTCTGCACCTTTTAGAAATAAGCGATCGGGGAAAGAGTCAAGTTCTGGACACATGGTGCGTCTCCTGGGCTAACTGGTCCTCTTACAGCTTGCCTGGTTTCACGTGCATTCCCACCTTTGGCCTTTCCCCTGGATGATTTAGGCAAATCTTGGACATCAGTTTCTACCACCCTGCTTTGCCTAGGGCTTGTTCTCCTTGGCATGTGTGATGGCTGACCTTGGTTGTTGACGTCACTGGGTCTCGAATCCACTCAAGTGTAAGCTGCTGGGCATGCCTGCGAGGGATTTTCATGATTGGGCTATTTGAAGTGGAAGGTTCACCCTATAGCCACACAGATCAAAGGACGTGGAAGAGGGAAGCTTTGCATTCTGTCTGCTTGCTGTCATCCCTGCTGGCAAGTTCATCCTTCCTGTTGCTATGGCATCCCTTCACCTGTTCTCCGGGATTCCAGCACAGCCTGAAGAGCAGCAGCTTTCCCGGGAGTCCTCCAAGCCATCAACGCCAGATTCTCAGCTTCTCCAGTGAGAGACAGCCATTGTGGGACTATCCAGGCCACATCGTAAGCCAATCTGATAGATCCCCTTTAATATATATTATATATTATTACACACACACATATATATATATAATTAGTTCAATATATGATATATATTAGTTCAATATCTATATTATATCAGGAGGTCAAGGCCAGATGAGCAAATATGAGACCCTCTCTCAACAATTACAAAAAAAAATTTAAAACTTAACAACTGTATTTTCCAAAAACTGGAGGACTGGTACTTTAAAAGTAATATCCATGACTTCTGGATTTCTGTAGTTTGATTCTACTATTTACCTCTGTATCTGGTGTTTTGCAATATATTGCCTTGGTTGAGGTGTGTGGATAAAGTCCATCCTCACACATGCAGATAGGGAGCTGTGTGTGTGTGTGTGTCTATGTATATATGTAAACAATATTTTATTATTATATATTTATAGATTATGATATATTTCTATATAATAATATATGAATTATATATTATATTTAATGTATGATTGTTATATATAATAAAATAATTCAAAAATATTATACACACACATATCTATTCTATCAGTCCTCTTCCTTCAGAGAACTCTAATACAGCATGGAAGCCAGCATTCAACCTTTCACCTGCTCCCTGTGGTTCCAGGCAGACTCTGATGGATGCTCGGGACCATTCTAGAGTGGGTGGCAACAGAGGCCTCCCTTCCTTGGGATAGGACTCAGTCGCACTGTGTCTCAGTGGACAGCTAGGACTCTGCTGGTTGAGAGTGGTCTCCATCCAACTCCTCATCTGCCTAAACTTGGCAGACAGCGTTTTGTGCACTTGCCGCTTTTGCAGGCAAATGACCCAGCAGATGTTCCTGCAAAGAGCTCTTGAGCCCCCAGCTAGCCATGCTCTTTTCAACACCTAGTGTCTCCAGGCATGCACGCTGCCTGTATCTTAGTTTTCTTCAACCAGGGGGTGCAATAATGACTTTTGTGCCTAGACTTTGCCACTTTATTTTATTTTTTGTTTTTTGAGACAGAGTTTCTCTGTGTAGCCCTGACTGTCCTGGAACTCACGCTGTAGACCAGGTAAGCTTCAAACTCAGGTCTGCCTGCCTCTGCCCTCCCTGCTGGGATTAAAGGTGTGTGCTACCAAACCCAGCTGGACTTTGTCACTTTAAAGATTCCTGGCAGTTTGCAACTGCCGCTAATTCCAGTTCCAGGGGACCCGATGACCTCTTCTAGCCTCATGGGGCACCAGACACACAAACATACATGCAGGCAAGACTTTCATACACATAAAAAACTTGAATTGCTTCAGACCACGTACCACTTAGAAGTTTGAAAGAAGTGCAGACGCTTCTGTCACATCCAGAGTGCAGGTTGAAAATATCGTCAGTCAACAATGCTGGAGCAATGGCTCGGCAGTTAAAAAGCATATACTGATCTTGTAGGGGACCTGGGTGGGGCTGCTCACAACTGCCTGTAACTCCAGCTTCGGGGGACCTGACGTCCTTTTATTGTGTTCTGAAAGTTAAAGACGATGACTGTGAGATACCCATTTGTACCATTATGAAGTCGATCGTGTCCTAAATTCACCACCTGGGAACTGTCCTTGGTTCTCGATAACACTGAGCATGTGGGAATAAAAGCTTGCTTGGGTACACTTGGGTGTTCTGCGGGGGTGTTCTTCAATACACCATGCTACCTACCGGTTAGCCGGGCAGTCAGATGGGACTGTAAGCTTCAATGGAAGGCAGGGGCCAGTATTTTTCAGCGAGGTGCAGTCAGGGAGACTTGTCTCACCGCTGATCAGTCCCCACAAAAGGTTTCTACTTCCTGTGGGCCAGAGAAGATCAAGGACAGGAAAAACCCGAGGTCAGCTAAGTTTTGAGGCTCAGCACAGACTTGGGGTCCCTCCGGAGACTGGAGCTCAGACAGAACCCAAGACAGCTTTCCCTGCATAGATACAGGAGCCTCAGCCTCAGGATCACTTCCTCGGCTAATTGTGTTCTCTTGCCAGCCATCCCTGGGACACGGTGATCAAGGCTGCCATGCGGAAGTACCCAAACCCGATGAACCCGTGCGTGGTGGGCGTGGATGTGCTGGAGCGCAGCGTGGACGACTGTGGGCGCCTGCACAGTCTGCGCCTGCTCAGTACCGAGTGGGGGCTGCCTGGCCTCGTGCGTGCGGTGAGCCTCCCGGCGTGGCTGCCCACACTTACTGCTAAGGGGTGCCACGAATGGCTGGGCAAGATCCTTGCAGTCCCTGTGCCCCCTTCTTCTCCTCGGACTGTCCGTGGGTCCCATTTTGTTTTCTTGGAAGGACACTAGTCACCGTGGGGTTAAGTGAGCTGGGTGACCTTTCTTCAGTGTCATCTGTGCCCAGAATCCCACATTTTGTGATGCTGCAGGTAGACACAGCATAGCTCATACTCGCTCCTAGAGCCAGGGATGGGGGTGGGGTGGGGCCGGGTGGAGAACAGTGAGAATAACAGACAGGACAGCTTTCCTCTGCACGGTTGCACACTGACCTCCCCTCCACACGGAACCCAGGTCCTTACATGGTCCTATCGTCTCCTGCTGTCTCTCCTTGTGACTCATTTGCCGCTCCTGGATTCTCTATCAGGACGTGAAAAGCGTCTCTGCAGGTTGAGTCTTCACTTCAGAGCTCTTGCTCGCAGAGGAGCCTCTCTTCTCAGGATGCCGGGGGTTCCCTGGTTTAATTTTTGTCAAAACAGTCATTACTGTCACGTGGTAAGCTCTTCACTCCGTCTTGTGTTATCTTCCAGGGGTTTGGCCATTCTGCCTACTGCTGTATCCACAGATATAGAGGGTTTGCTGTAAAGAATGAGCAACTGGACTTCAGCATGTCACTATACTGCCTTTGTTTCGTCCCTTAGATTTTGGGAGCCAACAGGACCTTGACGTACATCAAAGAGAGCTCTGTTGTGGATCTGGCGGCAAGGAAAATGGAGCTGTGTTCCACCAATGTAAGCAGTGCTCTAAGATGCGAAAGGTGCTTCAATGTTTCTTGGCGATGGTCATAATGCCTCCCTTAAATTGTACTTCCAGTTTGCCTTCTGTCTAAGTGGGCTTATTTTTAGTAGGAGGGTTAGATTTATTTAGTGGTATTTTATCTTTGTTTTGTTTTGGGCAGAGGGTCTCACTGTACCCCAGGTCAGCCTGGAACTCTCTGGCTGGTCTTAAATTTACTGTAATCCTCCTGCCTTGCCTTTTTCTAGTCTTTTTATTCAAGTATAATCAACATATAGAATAGGCCAAGGGCAGTGGTGTGTGTGCCAGGCAGATCTCTGTAAATTTGAGGCCAGCCTGATCTACATAGTGAGTCCCGGGACAGGCAGCTACATAGTGAGACCCTGCCTCAAAGTAAGTAAATAAACAAGCAAATAAATAGACTAATAAATAAATAAGATAAAAAGAGAAAGAAAAAAGGCAAAACCCAGCTAGATAAAAGGCATGACTACATGGAAACTCAGTGTAAAGTACAAGTGGCATTTTCATAACGATGGACTCTGTAGATTAACTGAGAAAACAGGCTCAAGACAAGGAGGAGGTCTCAGCCACACCGATGGCCCTAAAGTCACCAGGCTGTTAACCATGTCCACTTCCAGCCTTCTAGGTGGAAAACAGGTCATACAGCTTTCCCTTTGAAGAGACAACCCTGTGTGTTTAACATGCCTGGTTCCCTAGTGCTTATCTGTGAGTGCGGGGACCTCTGTGCCTCCTACGGTAGAGATACTTCCAGTGGTGTTTGTTTTGAAACAGGGTCTCACTGTGTTAACCTGGTAGTCTCCAATTCCTAGGCTCAAGTGATTCTCTGGCCTCAGACTCCAGAGTCCCAGTACTTCACCTGGGTACAGCTGCACGCCACCATGCCCTGATTGTGGCTGTTGTTTGTTTTGCTTGCCCGGTGCTTGAGTTCAGACCCAGGGACTTGTGAGCCCTCTGCCAGCTTTTTAATGGTCATTTGGGGGGGGGAGGTGCAGTGAACTTTATTGATGACATTCAAGAGAGTAGGGCTCCCCAAGCCCCTCCTTGTTTTATTCTGGGGGTCTGGGACGGAAACTGTGAGGGAGATGATCAGTGTGGGGTTGCTGAACATATCCTGCTCAGCAGCCAGGGCCTCTCTCTTGCTCAAGGCCTTGCTGGGGGTGGATGGTCCAGGGTGGGCTTCTTACTCCCCGGAGGTCACGTAAGCCATGAGTTCCACCACCCTGTTGCTGTAGCCGAATTCATTGTCATACTGGGAAATGAGCTTTACGAAGATGTCATTGAGAGCAATGCCAGGCCCAGCATCAGAGGTGGAAGAGTGGGAGTCGCTGTTGGAAGTTGCAGGAGACAACCTGGTCCTCGGTGTAGCCCAGGATGCCCTTCTGTGGGCTCTCGGATGCCTGCTTCACCACCTTCTTGATGTCTTTACACTTGGCAGGCACTTCTCCAGGTGACATGACAGACACGTTGAGGGTAGGAACACAGAAGGCCATGCCTGTGAGCTTCCCGTTCAGCTCTGGGATGACTTTGCCCACAGCCTTGGCAGCACCAGTTGATGCAGGGATGATGTTCTGGGCAGCCCCACGGCCATCACTCCACAGCTTCCCGGAGGGGTCATCCACAGTCTTCTGGGTGGCAGTGATGACATGGACTGTGGTCATGAATCCTTCCACAAAGCCAGAGTTGTCATGGATGACCTTGGCCGGGGGCTAAGCAGTTGGTAGTGCATTATGCATTGCTGACAATCTTGAGGGAGTTGTTGTACTTGTCATGGTTCATACCCATCACAAACATGGGGGCATCAGCAGAAGGGGCTGAGATGATGGCCCTTTTGACCACACTCATCAAGTAGGCTCCAGACTTCTCCATGGTGGTGAAGACATCAGTTGACTCCACAACATACTCAGCACCAGCATCACCCCATTTGATGTTGGCAGGATCTTGCTCCTGGAAGACAGTGATGGCCTTCCCGTTGATGACAAGCTTCCCATTCTCAGCCTTGACTGTGCCTTTGAACTTGCCATGGGTAGAGTCATACTGGAACATGTAGACCATGTAGTTGAGGTCAATGAAGGAGTCATTGATGGCAACAATGTCCACTTTGCCAGAATCAGAGGCAACCCTGGCAAACAGTACAGCCAAATCTGTTCACCATTGTGTCTCAGGAACGAGGCTGGCACTGCATGAAAAGATTCGGCTGTTTCTAGAACAGGGAGGAGCAGAGAGAGCCTTAGTGGTCTTTAAAGCTACTTTCCAGCTGGAGAGATGGTTTAGTGTGTTAAAGATACTTGGTGCCAAGACTGAGGACCTGAGTTCAATACCTGGAACACACATAGTAGAAGGAGAGAAGCCACGCCCAGACTCTCTTTTGGTCTTTACTCATGTGCTGTGGCATGCTCACCTACACACATGTACATGCAATAAGTAAATAGATAAAATGTATCAACCACTCTCCCCCTCCTCATATTGCTATTAAAAATACATACATAGAACTAAGCATGGTGGCTCACACCTTTAGTCCCAGCACTCAGGAGGCAGAGGCAGGAGGATCTTGAGTTTGAGGTCAGCCATGTCTATAGTGTGAGTTCCAGGACAGCCAGGGCTACACAGAGAAACCCTTTATTGCCCCCACACCACACACACAAAGCACATACGGGGGCTGGAGATGACTCAGCAGTGACAAGTACTTGTTGCTCTTGCAGAAGCTCTGGGTTCATTTCCCGTCACTCACATGGTGGCTCATAACCATCTGTAACTCCAGTTCCACGGGATTTAACACCCTCTTTTGACCTCTGCAGGTTCAGGCACCATATATGATACATATACATGCATGCAGGCAAAACATTCATACATATAAAATAAATAAATCCAAAAAATTAAAAAAAATTAATTTTTGGTTGTTTTGAGGCAGGGTTTCTTTGTGTAACAGGCCTGGCCTGGTTGTCCTGGAACTCTCTTTATAAAGCAGGCTGGTCTTGAACTCATAGAGATTCACCTGCCTCTGCTTCCAGAGTGCTGGGATTAAAGGCATGCGCCATGACTACCCAGCTCCTCCTAAAATCTTGAGCATTGCTTCTAGGCCATAAAACTCATCCTCGTGAGTGATGTTACATGTACTTTACAACAGCCTAAGTGACTTCTATGTTATCTTAGGGCCAGGCCAAATCCTCACTCCCACGGGCATTTTGAGATCCACCTGCCTCTGCCTCCTGAGTGCTGGAATTAAAGGTGTGGGCTACCAGGCTTTTTTTTTTTTAAATTTTTTATGCGTGTTTGTTTTGTTTTTAAAGATCACACTCACGAATCTGGTGTCAGTGAACGAGAGGTTGGTGTACACACCTCACCCAGAGAACCCTGAAAAGTGAGTCCTCGCACCCCGGGATGGACATACTGAACAGCAGGGGTGGATGAGGGAAGCCTCCTTCCCGGGGTTGGTCAGCCCCGAGCTCACCTCTGCTCTTCTGCAGGACCGTGCTCACCCAAGAAGCCATCATCACCGTGAAGGGGATTAGCCTTGGGAGCTACCTGGAAAGTCTAATGGCCAACACGATATCCTCCAATGCAAAGAAGGTGCATACCTCAGGGTGGGGTCCTGGCAATGAGCCAGGAGAAGTGGTGACATGTCTGGTTCTCCTGAGGACTGGGCTCTTTGTAAGTGGGAACGGAGTTGGAACAGGAAGGCTGGCCAGGCTCTGAGGGGAAAGGCTTCTGTCCTAGTCGGTTACTGCTGGGTGAAGTCCATCGCAGTCTCTCTGGTCTCCACAGGGCAGCTTTGGCTCCGGGATTTTGGGATGTCTTAGGTCTCTCACAGGTGCAGATTTGCTGTGAGCCTAAGAGGGGTATAACTTTGGGATAGCCCAAGCGGGTGCATTCTTTAACTGTTAGAGAACTTTAGGCCTGAACACATTGTGCTGTTTCTGAGCTTGAGTAGCCTGCTTACATGGGCCGTGGCTCAGGAAAGTTATTGTCACACCTTTGCCACAGTAGTCCCCTCGGGGGACTTGCTGCATGCAGTGAGACTCAAGTCCCTCTGTTGTTGTTGCAGGGCTGGGCTGCCATTGAGTGGATAATTGAGCATTCCGAGAGCGCCATAAGCTAACAGGTCTGCATCCATGCCTGGTGACACAAGGGGGCAGCCACAGTAACGTCTTAACCTGGTACAGAGTTCTAGCTTTATATTACCTGTGTGCGTGCAGTGCAAGAGAGAATGCTTGTCAGCCCTGCGCTTCCGACTGTCTGTCTCGGGAGCAGGTCCAGCCCCAGATTCTTTCCAGGGTATGCCCCAGCTATTGCCAAGTGGAGTCTGAGGAAGGCACTGTAGCATTGGCTGCCCCGAGGTCTCAGTACCTGGTTGCCTGAACATCCCTCAGGATTGTCACCTGCTAGCAAAGAGCCTCCGTGAGTAGGTCCACAGTGTTATGGGCAGGTTTAATCTTGAGGGGTTTTTTTTTTTGTCTTGGGCAAAATTTGTATTTTTTGAAAATATTGTTTTTTTTTTTTTTTTGTTTTGTATTTTGAGATAGGGTTTCTCTGTGCCTTTGGAGGCTGTGCTGGAACTAGCTCTTGTAGACCAGGCCGGTCTCGAACTCACAGAGATCCGCCTACCTCTGCCTCCCGAGTGCTGGGATTAAAGGTGTACGCCACCACTGCCCGGCTTGTTGTTATCATTTTTATTAGCTGGGGAATGGGACCCGGGACCTCACACCTGCTGGCTTGAGTAAGCGCTCAGCCTCTGAGCTCCGCACCCAGGCTGTACATGTTCCTCTGAGAAATACTTTGTGCCTATTTATTCACTTGGTACAAGCCAGTGTTCAGCTACTGGGTTAGTCTCTCCGTGGCAAAGGCATTTCTATGATCGTCATGGACTGCCCAGGTGTTCCTTGGAATCTGATGCTTGATTGGTTGGCACTCATCTTGTCATCACAGAAAGAGTCCCACTTCCCTTTAGGAAGGGGCCTCCTCACTTCCTGCCAGCTGCTGACAGCTACGGCTTGCTTCCCTCCCTCGCCCCAGCACATATGTTTGCTCCCTCATTCCCCTCAGCCAACAGGCTGTGGCGCCTGAGGTGTCTTTAAGACATTCTTGCTGCTTTTTCCTACGTCAGCGAAACTTGCCAGAGAACTTTACCTGGAGTCCAAGGCCAAGGCCTGCGGTGGGGCCTCCTAACCTCACCCTGAGCTGAGCTTGTTGTGGAAGCTGTGTGGGGCTGTGTGGGCCTGTGTGTGGAGAGAGGGAGGCCTGGTGTGAGGCTAGGCTCCCCAGATTCTGTTCCTTTGTAAACAGAGCTAACCTGTCCCCACCTTCTGTCAGATATCTCACCAAAAAGAGTCAAAGAAGAAAGGGAAGGAGGAAGGAAGGAAGGACAAAGAAAATGAAAGGCAAGTGTGGATATGGTTCCTGACAGGCCTGGGAGTCTTCCCTGTCCGTGGTGACCCCTCAGAACAGCATCAGGTGCAGGCGCCAGCAGTGGGAGCCTGTGGTTCCCGGGAGCAGTGTGGAGCCCTATGCTGCCAGGCTCTGCTGTAGGTATGGGCTGGGCAGTACGGGGCTGCATTGCCCCTGCATCTGTCTTAAGCTTTTACCTGCTTCCCCTGGCAGGAGTGCCACCTCTACCCGCTCCAGTCACTTCACCAAAGGAGAGCTGCCCTCTCCTCACGCCCTGCCAGCTAAGCCACACCTTCCCCAGGGGCTGGCTGCTGTCCTTTGTTCCTGGTGGCCCTGTGTCCTTAAGAGTGTTCCACTTGCCTCTGTGAAGAATTGAATGAGAAGTTAGTTGCTTTCTGACCCTCAGGGTCCCCTCCATGTTCCGTATGCAAAAAAAACAGTGTGGAGCTCTCTACGGAGAGCACTGTGGGTTCCAGCGACAACTGGGATTTTCAAGCTCGGACTGACCTTGAACTCCCTGAGTAACTGAAGATAACCTTGAATTCTTGATCTTCCTGCTTCAACTTCCCAAGTCCTGGGATTAAAGACTTGGGCTGCTATACTGTGCTCTTTTTGGTTGTTGTTCAGACAGATCTTGCTGTGTAGCCCTGGCTGTTCCGAACTCATGGCATTCCTCCTGCCTCAGCATCTCAAGTACTGGAATCACCGGTGTGCACCGCCGTGCAGGCCTGGACTGAGACTCTACTGTCTTTTCAGCTTGGCCTAACTAAAAAGAGAGGATGGGGACTCCTGCTTTGTAAGAGCCTTCCAGCTAATCCCCCCCCACACACACACCTCCGAGGTCCTGGGGTCGCTGGCTGTGGGTAGTGGTTTTGTGCTCCTGGCCTAGGTTGAAACCTCTCCCCCAAGCCCACTTTTCCTTCCTCCCTCAGAGTTTCTGTGTTCCTCGTTTTCTCTTTGTAACCTTTTTTGGGGGGAGGTGGAGGTGTCTCAAGACAGGATTTCTCTGTGTAGCAGTCCTGGCTGTCCTGGAACTCTGTAGACCAGGCTGTCCTCAAACTCACAGAGATCCGCCTGCCTCTGTTGGGATTAAAGATGTGCACCTCTCCTTGTAGAATTATGAGTAACCCAGACTGGTCTTGAACTCACTGTGTAGATGAGGCTGACCTCAAACTCCTACCTTTCAAGCATTAGAATTGCAGGGGAACACCATCATGCCTGGCTTTTATCTTAAGTCAAGGTTGTTTAAAACCCTAAATGTATATAGAAACATAGTTATGTGTGTACAGGCAGTTCATGTTTATAGTTTAAAATAGGAATTAAATATATTGACTAGTATAGACATTTGTTTTTCCTCTGTCAGTCAACTTGCCATTTTTACAGAGCTTTCTAGAACTTTTCTATGCCTATGAAAGTTGTCTGTCTTTTTCTTTCATTAAACTTGGGTTCACACTGTAACTATCTTTGTGACTGTTTCCTTTCTACTTTTAAACAACAGTGTCCTTTTTTTATGTGCATTTGTGTCTCAATTTTTCTGTGTCTGTTTGAGGGCATCTGATCCCATGGAATTGGAGTTAGATATTTGTGAGCTGCCATGTGGGTGCTGGGAATTGAACCCTGGTCCTCTGGAAGAGCAGCCAGTGCTCTTAACTGCTGAGCCATCTCTCCAGCCCTAAACAACAGTGTCTTGAAGAGTCCCTGATGCCACTGAAGGCTCTTGCCATGCATGGTCATTGGGCCTGTCACCATAGTAAGGTGGGGCCCCAGCGGGACACTGGGGTTTCTTTTTTGTGGGTATGGCTCCTTGCCACTTTGCCACTTTGAGACGGTTATAGACTATTGATTGACGGCTTGACTGGAGTAGGAAACACCCAGGGCATTAAGGAGGAACACGTTTGGATGTGTGTGAGGGCATTTCTAGAGAGGTTTGACTGAAGAAAAGGCCATCCATCCCATGGGCAAGGGCCGCATACTTAACAGAAGAGGAGGGGACGGAGAATGACGGTAGAGTGTGGTGTTTCTGTCTTGCTTCCTGATTTTGCAGCCATGATGGACTTCTCTGAACTGTCAAACCCTTTCCTTAAGTTGCTTTCTGTCATGTATTTTGCTACATCAGTGAGAGAAGTATACAATACTCATTTTGGGTTGGTACTGAATTATGAGATTGTAGTCATCATTTTTCATATAAGCTCTGTGTAAAGTTGTTTGGTTTTGTAGCTTCTGCTTTGGTTGGAAGTGGATTCTACAGCCCTTTCTTCGGGGACTTCATCAGCATAAAGGTAAATGTTTTACGATTTAGTGTTATACATAGACCTGCATTTTTTTTGTTTTTGTTTTTTTGTTTTTTTTTTGGTTTTTCGAGACAGGGTTTCTCTGTGGCTTTGGAGGCTGTCCTGGAACTCACTCTGTAGACCAGGCTGGCCTCGAACTCACAGAGATCCGCCTGCCTCTGCCTCCCGAGTGCTGGGATTAAAGGCGTGCGCCACCAACGCCCGGCTTAGACCTGCATTTTTAAGTTTCGAAAACAGGCAAGTCAGCCTCACACATCCCATCCACAGCCAGTCAGTACCCGAGTACTCGGAAGAAACATCTCACATCCCAGGATGTTCCACAGAAGAGTCCATAGGTCCCCAAAGAAACAAAACTCACAGGGAAGACACAAACTCAAAACCTAATTGGAGGCACAACACAGAATACAGGATGTGTGGGAAGCCCCAGGGGCCTCTGGGAAGTTCCGTAGTGCTGGCGTAATCTTGGCAGGGTTGAGAGGCATTGGGGTTTGGTCATTGACCCTTGAACGCTGACCCAGAGAACATGTGGACAGCAGCCCATGAGAGTGTGAGACCATGCGGGGGATGGAGGCTAGGGCTGGGCCCATTGCCACAGTGCTGTCCCCCAGGTTTGCAGTCAGCTCACACCAGGAAAGGGGTGCCAGGGAGCCAGTGGGCTCTTCTTGGACCCACTTCTCGGCCTCTTTTTCAGTAGGAAGATTGTTTTGTTGGTTTTAGGAAGTTGATTAAACTTCCCAGAGCCCATCCATTCTCCAGTATGTTGAGGGAAAAGGCTTCCTTGCTCTGCAGTCTCACCCGCCAACAGGTGTTTGTTGTGCCTTTTGACTACCGTGGCTAGTAGGCTAGACTGTAGTTGTGACTCTTAGAAAAGCACGCTGTGCCCAGAGAGCCGGGGTCATAGTGTCCCTGTAAGCTTGCTGACTCTAGGTTTCAGGTAGTCCCCACAGAACCCCTTATGCTGCAGAGGCTTGCTGCTGGTTCTCATGTAGCTACTGGGCACATGGCTGAGAAACAATGGACCCAGCACTGTGCCTCCACGATCTCTTGTTCCAGCCTGTGTGTGTCCTCCTTTTGTTCCAGCCATTTCTACGTGCACGTGGTACCAGCTCATCATCTTCCCATGACTATGGGCTTTAGTGTGAGTGAAGGATGAGGATTGTAAACTCGTGTGTCTAACAAGTAATACCAAATCTGTTTCATTCTTGGTAGGAATATGAATTAGAATTTTTTCTTTATTGGTTAAACTCTTAAGCTTAACCAGTTTAAATTGTAGAGGAGAAACAGAGAAAGACAAGGACAGTTGTAGAGACTTGTTAAAATGTTGGTTACTGGGCCAGGGCGATGGCTCTGTGAGTAAAGAGACTTGTTGCCAAGCCTGAGGGCCAGGAAGCCATATTGTGGAAGGAATAAAGATTACCTCAGGTGGTTCTCTCACTTCCAGTGGCACACGCACACGCACATGAAAATGTGGTTTCAAAATTTTTTTCCCTGTGTGTGCATGTTGATGTCTGTGTACATATGAACTTGTGTGTGTGTGTGTGTAGGCCAGAGGTCTATCTATGTCTGGTATCTTCCATATCTCTCTCCACCTTATTGTTTTGATTTTTAGAGTTTTTTCCTTTTTTTTTCAAGACAGGGTCTCTCAGCATGTATAGCTTTGGAGGCTGTCCTGGAACTCTCTCTGTAGACTAGACTGGCCATGAACTCACAGAGATCCGCCGGCCTCTGCTTCCTGAGTGCTGGGATTAAAGGTGTGTGCCACCACCATTGCCTGGCTTTGTTTTGGAGTTTTGAGACAGAGCCACAATGTAGTCTTGGCTGGCCTGGAACTCCCCGTGTAGACCACACTGGCCTCCAACTCACGGAGATTCACCTGAGTACTCGGATGAAGAATCTGTGCTACCGCACCCAGCTACCACCTTCTCTTGTGAGATAGGGTGTCTCACTGAAACAGACTTGACAGGGCTGGCTAGCTTGCAAAGTTGGGGGTCCCCCTGTCTCTGCCCTCTGTCCTCAAATTACAGGCACAAGCCACTATGCCGTGGCTTTTTTCCATGGGTGCTGGGGATCAGAACTTAGGTGCTCGTGCTTGTGTGGGGAGCACTGTACTATCTAAACCATCATCCCAACCATAAACTGCTGTTATTTTTTAAAGATTTATTTTTGTTCATGAATGCGTCACAAGTGCAGATGCCTTGGAAGCAGATGGATGGGACCAGATCCCCCTGCAGGCAGCTGTGAGCCATCCCATGTGCATGTTGAATTCCGGTCCTCTGCAAGGACAGCGAGTGTTCTTGACTGCTGAGTCATTTCTCCCACCGCTCCAGGGAAAGAAGTCTTTACGGAACTTGATGTTTCAGCATGGGGGAGGAAGTGTGAGAACCTGTCTCCTAGCCCACCACTAAGTCTAAAACCCAGGAAGCAGTGTTTGGCCTAATCATAGCCATCTGTCAGGCCGACACCAAGGCTGTGCCCACTGCTTACCTGCTCCCATTGCTTGCTGCTGAGGGAAATGAAAAGCCGTTACACGGCCCGGTGCCTGCCCATGGTTCCTGCCCAGCTAGGGCCAAAAGACTCTCAGCTAGACTGGTGACATTGATACCTCAGGAACTTACCTTGCTAGTATCAGTTGTGTGAGGCTTTGTTTTATACACCATCTTCAAGGGACCTCAAGGAACACTCATACCTCCGGGATCCCAAGCCCTTCGCAGGAAGCACAAGTGTCTGTATGTATTCTGTACACTTCTCCGTGTGCTAAATCATGTCAGGTTACAGAGCCTCTGGCTGCCTCTTTCCCAGAAGCCAGGCGGGCCTCACACAGGTGATGAGCAAGCCATGCCAGGACCTTACCATCTTCAGAGCTGCTGCTCCTTCACAACTGTGAGCAAGCCCACCCACCCCCACCCCCAGGCCCAAGACAATCTGACTGGTAACTTTTATCCAGTGTCTTCCTGCCTGCGATTGGAGACTAGCTCATGTGTGTGGAACTCCCCCTGTCCTTGATCTGGAAGCCTGTAAGATACAGCATTTTCTGTCTAGAGACCCCTAAGGGAGGGCATCCACATCCCCTTTCTAGAAACCCACTTGGTAGCTCACAACTAACTCTGGTTCCACCCTCACACAGACCTACATGTAAGCCAAACACCAATGCACATTAAACAAAATGCAGAGGGCACCTACATGGCAGCGCCTAACCACCTGTAACTCCAGTTCCAAGGATCTGATGCCCTCTTCTGGTTCTTGGGCACTAGGCACACATGCAGTACACAGGCATACATGCAAGCATTCATACACATAAGATAAAAGTACAAATCTTCAACACACGCGGCTGCTTATCTATTTGTGCCAGTGGGTTTTGGCCTCTGAAGTGTTTGCCTTTGTGTTTCTACTCAACCTACATTTGGGCGGCCTGAGTGCTCTGAAATGGGAGTTTGCTACATCCTTTCTCTGCCCTTTCCTCTCCCACTTTTGGGCTCCTTTAGGGCTAAGACTACGTAAACACTTTTTCTTTGGCGTATTCTCACTGAGCCACACAACCCAGGCTCAACACAGTTCCATATGCTGTTAAACCTTGGTGTCGCTGGATTTGGAACTGGATTGTGCTGGGAACTTGAGGTAGTCAGGGAAGAGGAGCCTTGCAAGAGCCAGGTGTCTGATCTTCACAGGCGTCCGAGGAAACCCGGGCAGGCATGTGTCTGCTGAACATGCAAGAAACATGGACACAAATACCGACTCCAAAGGGCTGGGAGAGCACCAGAGCAGGCGTGAGGATGCAAGGTTGCAGCGACGGCGCTCACTTACTCAGGGAGGGTTTTTTTTTTTTTTTGGGGGGGGGGTTTTCGAGACAGGGTTTCTCTGTGGCTTTGGAGGCTGTCCTGGAACTAGCTCTTGTAGTCCAGGCTGGTCTCGAACTCACAGAGATCCGCCCGCCTCTGCCTCCCGAGTGCTGGGATTAAAGGCGTGCGCCACCAACGCCCGGCTTCAGGGAGGGTATTTTTATGTTAACTTTTAAGTCATTAGCAAGAGCTATCAACTGTGAAACTATCAAGTAGTAATTTGCACTTACTAGAATCCATTTGGGTCTCCAGCCTGCTTTTTCAAGGTCTGGGCTGGCTGCTGGTTATAGCACACTTTTGCAGGGGCTCGTAAGCCATGCTTGCTGCCAGG